TTTTTTAATTTAGTAGCTTGGGAGTTAGGCTTCGGTATTTGGGTGTATTCTAACACAATAAGGTAATCCTGATGCCCACCCAATCTCAGCGTGACTACGTTGCGAGTTGTCTTTCCAAGTAGTACAGTGCCCATACATCGTACCGTGATGTCAGCACATTCACGTGAAAGTACCCCACAGTGACCACATTTGATGGTAACAATAAAGTCAGGGAAGGATGAAAAGACCACATTTTCAAGATAAGGTTGGTATTTGGCAACCAAGAAATGTAATTACTACCCAAGTTACACCATACCAGACGTGTTCTTTGCTTCCGTGAGCCATAGTATTTTATTCAAAATTTCGGTCACCCCATAGGTTGAAACAGTAAATATACTGTTTTCTTTCCCACTCACTAGCTTTTAAGTTTCTAAAGGACGGAGACCCTTCTTGTCCATGCCCATAACAGGTTCTCCACTGATGTTTGTTGAATAAACAAAGAGCAACCTTCCAGCCATAACACCCACTCAAATACCCAAATGTAAACATAATTTCAGATTAAACTGGACTTGAGAATCACAATCAGTGTGCGATGCTTTTAATGTCTCCACAGTATGTTTTGAGTGACTCAATTGCATCAGCTTGTATTCTGTCATTACTAACGATTTACCCAGAATGAAGAACGGCCATGTCTCGTTAGAGGTTGAATCGAGTATTTCAGACTGTCCAGACAGCGTAGTTAAGGAAACAAGAAACCCTTCGAAGTAACCAGGGGCCACCGTCATCCGGATGGCTAAATCACACCCTTGGTTCCATGACGGTGCCACAGGCGGGCCTAGGTGCTGGAGCTCTGATGTGGGCTTTCCAGGGAGCACAACCCACCCCCCTTGAGAGGGAGAAAGCTGGTGTGGACACAGCATCACATGGGTCTCAGGGGCCGGGGCAGGTCAAACAACCAGAAGAGCAGAGGCTGAAGATGGCATCCACCGAGGTCTTGCCTCTGTCCTTCACAGGCAGTTGGATTTGAGGTAAATTACTGAAGTCACCGGGCCTCAGTTTCCTCACCTATATAATGGGGTAATAAAACCTTGCTCTACAAATGCACGGAAGACCTGGTACCGTGCACATCACAAAGGAAAATTCAGAACTTTTATCCATTTCCTTATTCAAATGTGGTCTTGCTCCAATTACTCAATGCCTAGATGTTACTTTTATACGTTTGATGTATGTGTGCGTGTGTGTGTGTGTGTGTGTGTGTGTTCAGCCAAAGGTCAATAGGTCTCAAATGTTTTTGGACACAGAAACAAAAACTCTTAGGAGGAACAATAAATACAATTGGTAAGAGATGACCTTCCAACCTGCTAGGGCTCCCTAGAGGGCAGTCTGACGGTCACCGGCCAGAGGGTCTGTAGTTGATATGGCACAAGCCCACAGCACCACTGGTGCCCCCCTGAGCCAGCTGCAGGGCTCAGGGGATAACAGTGCACAGCCTCACCCTCAAATGCTCGAAAGGGCATCTAACCTCACCAGCCAAGCCTGCTGGGGCTTAATGTATTAGCAAGCCACTTCTGCTTCGAGACTTCCCTGGTCCTCCCTGACTGAGTCTCTTGCAATGCCGACAGCCCGCACAGCCTGATCTGCGCACGCCGTATCTATTTTGTCTTTCTGTGAAGACTCTTGGAGGGGGTGAGTCACTAATCTTCATAGAACCCCACACAATGCTTTGCTGGCAGAATGGAAATCATGCTCAGTGAACGGTTCAATACATGTGGGAGAAGACAAGTGGCAGAATGATGGGTCATGAATACTTCTAAGCACAGCCAATATGTTTTAATATTGTCTTGATGGTCTGCAACGATAATGCAAGTTAAGCATTTAAGCAAGGGTTGTATGTTAGGAATGCTCAGCTCAACCAGTACACCTGCAATTGTACCTGCACAATCACGCCGAGGATCTCGGACTCTCTTGGTTTTGCAGAGGAAAGCTTAGGTAAGAGAAGAAAAGGCAGAGCGCGCACGGGTCGCGGCCAGTCTTCGGGAGAACTGCATGGATCCGGAATCCCAGGCCTAAGGTCCTACTCCTAAATGGCACGACTTCCTTAATACGTGGGAATTTTTCCAATGGAATCATGCCATTCAGGGGACATATTCTCCAAAACCTGTAGTTCAACATTCAACATGTCTGTGCCGTTTCTCAAAATCTGCCTCTAGCAAACCGCACATCCTATGCCAAGTGATCGAATACGACCAGGAAACTCACCCTACACCACTGGCTTAGGAACAAGCCTGACCGAACCCCACATCCTAAAGGAGAACACACATCCTCACTCCTGGTCCTGTCTCCCTCCCTTTTCCAACACAAATTCAAACCCTGGGTCCCAGCGATTTCTATGTGCAGGTCAGATTCCTCCATAGAAACCACAAGATGTCCAGACATGAAAATAACTGGACTCAGTAGATGAAATTGGCTGACATTCACAGAGATCCTTCTCTGAGTTAAAGGTTAGAAAATCTCTGGCTGAAAGGCCTCGAGAAAAGTATGCCTCTGACCTCAGCGATATCCTCTGAATGTAAACAAACCTGAAAAAGTAAAACGAACCTCTAAAGCAGGATGTTTTATAAAGTCCTAACAGATGCATGATTACTTTTTAATTCTTAAGGCGCAGGACTCAGAATTTGACCCCGCTTGGAGTTCATTGCCAGGCATGCTGTTTATGTTATGATGTTTGATCCATACACCAAGCGACAACTTCACTCCAA